TTGAGAATTGGCTAGCCCTCTTCGTTGTTACTCATTTAAGACCTTCTAACTTTCATTCATCTATTGTACCATTGAAAAAGGGACTGCCTCCAAGTGTTGTATTTGTGGAATTTGTCATGTCCTGCTATTTCTCACCATTTCAATCAGGAAAACGTGAGTGTGGATGATCTGCCTTACTGACAGTTTCTTTCTGATATCTATTGTGTGAATTATCTGCCTTACTGACAGCTTCTTTCTGATATCTATTTTGTTAATCTTTGCATTCTAAAATTTGACTCGGGGTTCACAACAGAGGAAGGGGAGCGAAATGGAAGCAACGGTAAACAGGGGAAGAATATGTATTTAATTCATTATACCTTCCTGCTTACCATATGGCAGCCTTCCATGTCCTGGAGCGCTGCATATATTTTGAACTACTACTCCGATCACCCTTGAACATGGGTCATGCTGGCTAGTGCTGATGGGAAGTGTAGTCCAACACCACCTGGAGGGTACCTGGCTGGAGAAGGCTAGAAGGATGAGCCAAAGGCTAGGTGGAATTCCAGCAAGGTGGGGCATAGTTAACAGGGAAGGGGCTTTCGTGAACCTGTTTAAATGGATTAGCATCTCCCCAGAACCCCTGCCTTACAATGGGAGGCTTCTGCACACTTGTTGTATGCTAAGGGTTGTGTTGTCCTATGGTTTCCATGATTCTGTGTGACCCTGAAGGCATAACACAGTTACAAGATGACTTGGCAATAGCGTAAATAAATTACACCTATAAGAGAACATCCAGGGATCAGAAATTAGCTGCGTACTGTGCATTATAATAGGGTTCTGTTTGATTTAGATAAAAACTGATCAGTGCAAACATAATCATTCATCATAAGTCCTCTGTAGTGGACTCATAACAGAAGAATCCCATCAATGCTTTGTAAAATAGTTTAACAATATGACATTTCTTTGAGAGAGAACTGCCTGGAGCATGAGGAGTGGTAGAGGACAGTGTGATGGGATGGGAGAATCTGTCAGTTTCGTTCTTTTAGTTTCCCATTTTTCCAATCTTTATCATCATCACTTTGCCATTTTTGTAAATAATAAAGTCCTTACAAAATTCCATCAGCATTCTAATATGCATTTCTCCTAAAATACAGATTTTTATACTATACACATTTCTGCAAAGCACGTTTTCCCTAATATTCATAATTTCCCTAATGCATTGTTGTATGTTATTTTCAGTAATATATGCATTTTTGTGCACACTTTATCTCAGTATATGCATTTGTGTACACATTATTTGGCTGGAGACCTGCTTTGCAAAATTCAGAGAAGTGCAAATGTTGAAGGCTGCCCATACTTTGTTTCACGTATGGTTTTGAAAAGTGAGAATTAGGTAAATTTGCCCTTAAATGCTAACTAAATCCATTTACTCTCCAATCCCTGGATGTGAAATGCATTTTGAAGGGATGCAAAGAGAAATTTTGTGAGGAGACTGGAAGAATTATGGAGGGGAGTTCTTAAGATTAAGTAATTGTGGGTACAACGTTTTCTTCAGAAAGGCTCAGAATGCTGTGAATGTTTTTTGTCACACATCTGGTATCTAGGAGAGTGCCGCATTCGCTGTGCCACAGCTGCCAAATTGCCTTTCTGTGCCTCTGATTTCCTGTTCTTTAATGGCAGATCCTATATCAGCAACACTCTGTCACTTTGGGGGCTTTTTGCCATGAAAAATAATATACAGGCAGGCAAAATATATGAAGCTTTGGTAAGGTTTTGATGGGGGAAAGTTATGCACATGTTTGGATTTTGTATTCAAATGATGACAGTCTGCTCAAGCCAAGTGCTAATGAAACAAATTGCAGATGTTGAGTCATTGCTATTTATGTTAAAATAAATAAACGGAATTGCCATTTAATAAAAGAAATGTTGTCAAAATCTTCCACTTGGTATTTACTTGAAGACTGTAAGTTGTTATGCCCAGTCAGTATACACATCAGCTCTTTGGGGCCTTCACATCTCTTTTTCTGTGATTTGCTTTTTTGGTGTACTACCCTCCCCCACCATGCACTTTAGTATTATTTTTTACATTTACATTTTATTTAATTTTGCTGTGTCCTCAGTGTCTGACACCTTGGGTGCTCTCTAGCCTGTCCTGCTGCACATTTTAGTGCTGGTTTGCACAGGACCATTCATGTTGATGTTGGATTCTGGAATGGATGTCTAGATATGATTTATCTATTCATTTCATGGCAATAGCAGAAAGCTAAATATAAATGTGTTTTTTAAAAGAGAGCAATGAATGTTAAATGGGATATTTACAAGGTGAAAAAGAACACGTATTTTAGGGGCTGGTTCCCCCCCCCCTTCTTTCACTCAATGCTGTCTGTCACATTTTAAGAGTTTAAACAAATGCCCCTATTCACATCTGGTCCCTATAGGCTCAAGGGCTGGTTCTGTAACCTGGTGGAGAAAATGGGCTATATCATGCTTTGAAATGCTTATATCAGACTTGACATAAAGT